GGGGCTTAAGTGGAGAGGAAATGTTTTGAGAATGATGAAGGCAATGAATGTACAAATGTGCTTTACACAATTGATATATGTATGGATTGTGATAAGAGTTGTATGAGCCCCTAATAAAATGATTTAAAAAAGAAAATGAAAATGTCCATTTGATAGAATATTTAGAGTATGACTTTATACCAGAAGAAACTGGAAGTGGTTACCTCTAAGGTGCATGGGGGGTGAGGCAAAGAAACGCTATCCTTCTTTTAAGCCCTTTGGTGTTATTTTTTGGTGTACATGTGTTACTTAAGAATGAAATTAATTTTAAAAATGTTAAAGTACAAAATAAGATAACCATAAAATAATTACCACCGCTTACTGAGTATACTAACAACACAGAAGACATCTAACATAAACCACTCTCATTAATTCCTCAGACTCCCTTTAAGATTAATGAATTCATGTGGAAAGCACTCGCTCCCACACAGGAGAGCACATACCGATAAGATTCCAGCAGATATGCTGTTGTCAGGTGCTGTCAAGTCAGCCATAGCGCCCAGTGATCCCGTGTAACAGTGTAAAGTGCCACATAGGGTTTTTTAACCTGGGATCTCTACAGGAGCAGATTGCCAAGTCTTCTCTTCCCATGATGCTGCTGGGTGGATTTGAACCACCACCCTTTCAATGCTCAGTCAAGCACTTACCGGTTACACCACCAGGGCTCCTTACAGCAAAACAAACAACTCACTGCCATCGAGCGATTCGGACTCCTAGACACTTGACAGCTCTCCCCCAAAGTCCATGATTTCCGTGGAATTTCAACTGATAGCAACTTGTTTCCTACTCAACTTCACTTCTAATGTTCTAAAAATTAAAAGCTAGGCAGTTTACTTTGTACCTTTTCTGAAGAGATGTTAAATTTTCAACTTACAAAAAACAGTCTTCGGTTTTCACGTATCTCTTCTTGTTTCCTTTCTAGTTTTTTTTTCATTTCTATGTCGTATAATGCATTCTGTCGCTTTATTTCCTCAGCATCTTTGTTTTCCTCTTTTTTCTTTCTTTCTTTTTCTTCTTCATGCTCCTTTATTCTGAAGCAAAAACATAATTATAATTGAACAAAGCAGAAAAACAGGTTTTATTTTTAAGAAATGAAACAAAGTTACTTGAGATGATTTAAACTTGCATGTGAAATTTTGTGAACTTCTTTGAAAAATAGTATTTAATAGCAGTGACTAAAACCAAATCCAACTTTGTCAAACCAGAATTGTTGATATTTGTCTTTCTCCACTTGTTTCATTTCTCACCAAGATACGTTCCATACTGGGATGTTCTTTTCAGTGGGAAAAAACTACTGAATGGAATGATCCGCCCACTACCAGCAGATCAATTCTGCCTCCTAGCAGACCATATCAAGATAGGACAAAAATGCTTCACTGGATTCAGAAACTGTAAGTCTTTACGGGCAGACAGCCTCGTCTTTCCTTCTCCCCTGATGGTTTTGAACCATTGATATTGTAAGGTAGCAGCTCAATATTTAGCACACAGTGCCACAAGGCTCCTTTGCTATATGACAGTAAGGGGAAAGGGTAATGTTATTTTTTTCCCATTTATTTTTTTTAATTAAAAAAATCATTTTACTAGGGTCTCATACAACTCTTATCACAATCCATACATACATCAATTGTGTAAAGCACATTTATACATTCATTCTCAAAACATTTTCTCTCCATTTTGCCCCTGGCATCAGCTCCTCATTTTTCCCCTCCCTC